TATCTTTTTCTTTTTCTGTATTTCATACAAAACATGGCTCTCATTTTCCACAAAAAGTTTCCACTTATTTGCTCAGTCCTAGCATATTGAACGCATTTTAGAATTGCTGATCCATGCCTCTGCACAACAAGACTAAGACTTGTTTAGATTTTTGGTTGTTTTTTAACTTGAGTGCATGTAGTCCAGATACTATGTTCAGAAATTTCTTGAGTTAGTTCTTTTTTTCCCTTCTCCCTTCTGTCAGTTATTTTATTCAGTTAAAATAAAAGTATTATTTATTTGTTTCTGTTTCTATTCAATTTGGGGGATTTTTTTGTCCTTGTGGATTTTAGTTATTTGTGGTGTTTTTTGAGTGTGTAACACATTGAATGTTTCAGAAAAGCAATTCTGTACAAAATGTGTATTCAGAGGAGTATGATTTCCTTGCCTTCACTCCCTTTGTCCTTTCCCCTCAGTTCCTCCCTTGTTCTGTAGGTAAACAATCTCATTAGTCTTTAGGTGTTCCTTTTATTCAGAGTACATAAATATACTTTTTCTTAATTCCTTTTCTTTTTTTTCCCCAAAGGTATCATACTATACTCTTTTGTACTTTGCTAATCATACAACTTGACAGCTGAATCAGACCTTATGGGTTGCATTTCTAAGATTATTCTTTCTTCATTTTTTCCTTTAGACATTAGATCAGCAACAGTTTTCTACAGAGGAAGAACTGAAAGAATATGAAAATCTTATCTGCTTACGAAAAAATGAACTTAAAAAAGCAGGTGAACTTCAGAAACAAAAAGAAGAACTACAGCGCCAGCATGACCAACTCGAGGCTCAGAAGCTGGAATATCATCAGGTGGTCTTTTGTGAAAGGATTGTGGCATTAAAGAGGAATTTAGGCACTGTAGTAATGTTTCAATGCACTATTAGCTATAGTATTTTAAATGTTGGTGTTTTCAAAACTGCTTTGTTGAATATTAATCTAAATTTTAGAATTTGACTTTAATTTTGGAAAATAATTTTCAGTTAGTTGTGATTTGTTAAAGGTCTCACATATCAGAGAAAATCAAGTACTGCTTCCTTTTAAAACATTTTTTTTTTCATTCCCCAGGTCATACAGCAGATGGAACAAAAAAAATTACAACAAGAACTTTCTCCATCAGTGCCTGGTGGAGAATCGAAGTTCAAGCCACGTATGTAATTTTGTTTGCTTATTTGTTTGATTAAGGAAATAAATTGAAATCCACATTTATTGCAAGTATGATTTCAAATTATTAATATCTTTGCTATTTTCTATATATTTGTGGAACTACAGCGCCTCACATTTCAGAAGGCCTATAAAGTTTTTATGTATCTGTATATTTCAAAAGCTATATAATTTGATAGGTATGTTTATGGTGAAGTGATTTATTTAAACATTATTTATCATCCTTTCTTTTTTTTCCCGATTATTTTATTTTGGACTAAAAGAGAAAAATT